AGTGGGCCTTGAACTGACTATGCAAAATGTTTCTCTTTTTCTTCCCAGGGAAGACAGCGAAGAAGCCTTTGATGTTTTCCCACAAGTCATTAAAAATAGGAAAATTATCAGTGGAGACAGATTTACTGCGTGTCTGCGTGTTAATGAGCTGCTCATTATGGATTTAATTTAGGATAAAAAGCTGCCATGTTCTAATAAAGGAGGGAAGCCAATCCGAATGTAGTTCAGAGCTTCTAGTTTTTCTGCACAACTGCAGAGCCCTAGTTTCTGAAGAACAATAAACATGGGAAGATTTTCTGACACAGCAAATGAGACACATATGAAAGTAAGACGAGAAAAAAAGAAACAGATAGTAAAGGAGTTCTTTTACCAGTTGCCCTCGCTTTCATATTCCTTTTGAAGGACACTCAGCTTGCTGGGCAAATAGTCTTTACAGATCCGTATTGCATCAGTCCACATCCCAGCATCCTGGATAAGAGAAATATGGTTTTTCAAAGCCTGCATAACTTAATATTCATATGTAGCTAATAAGAAGAAATCTTACATTTGTTCGTACAAAGCTTTTAATATGCAAACTAAAAAAATTATTTTTAAATATAATCGTGATCAGTTTTACAGTCTTCTGTAATTTTATTAATTTAATGTCAATTTAACTGTTGGCTCTATTCCTGTCATGATTTAAAGTTGGAATTATTTTGGTTTAATTTTTTTTTATTAATTTACAATTTAACATACTAATTCAGTTCAATTATGTAAAATTAAAAATGAATTATGTAAAAAAAAAAATAATAATCTTCATATGGTCTAAATAATTAGGGGTTTTTCTAAAGAAAGATCATGTACAATTGAGAAAAACAATGAAAAATTAATGGATAGTTTTTACAGTCAGATAAAATATCATTAAAATGAATTATAAAACATCTCCTTTTGTGTTTGACCCCAATCACATGGATTTGGAACAACATGACACCCTCAAATTACATTTTTGGGTGAACTATCCATTAAAAGTTTGGTAAAACTTAAACTTCTAAAAGTAGCTATCCTGATTTTTCTTAAAAATGTTCAGAAAGTTTAGATCTCTGTGTGCTTCATGGTGATGATGACTACAGCATGGTTGTTGTTAAAGGCATCTGTAGCCGGGTTTCCATCCAAAGTTGCGAATTTAACTTATGCGCAAAATTGAAATATCGCATTAAAACATTTGCGAATAAGCACCGTTTCCATCCAATGAATCAAAGAGAACAAAATCGTCACTTCCTGGTAGAACTGGCACTAGGCTATATATCACTATGAAAAGTAGGAGAAACCCCTGAATATAATAATTTTCATAGGCCTATATAATAAATTACTTGCGCCTCAGAGCGAGCAGACAAAACAAAATAAATGCGGTCATTGCTTTCAGAGGTGGATGCTGCGGTTTGGGAACACAGTCGTGTAACAGTTCTGGGAGGCAATTACACAGAAATATGTTGATGACAGACTTTTCTCGGACATTTCAAAATGACCATAACATTTCAGATACTGAGGAATGAGATTGGTCCACTGGTTAGGTTTTGCCGTCCCATTGCGCAGTCGCATGACTTTTTTGATGCGCATGGAGGAATTTACTCGGCAAATGCGTTTCCATCTCCTTTTATTCGCATTAACCCTTTTTCATACAAGTCAAAAACCACCTCAAGCGAGCGTAAAAACTTTTTTGCGAATTAAGGGATTTTTATTCGAAATTTGCCGTTTCCATCACTCGTTTCTCATGCGATACTTCAAAATGCACATAAAAACAGGGTGATGGAAACAAAGCTAATGACATTTTACTACAGTAAAGAAAATTTTAGTTTTATTGTCTATGTACAGATTACGCTTTAAGGACTCTTACTTTGTAGTATTTAATTGCTAGCTCTGGCCTTTGGGCCCGGAGAAGGAAGGCCTCAGCTTTTTGGAATTCCTTCTGGTCAAAACAGAACTTGGCCTGGCTCACTAGAATGTCTGCCACACTTTCCGGATCATGAGCCTCTGCCACTCTCTGGGCATTACTCCAGTCCTTGTTATGGATGTGCCTGCAATAGAAACAGAGACACGGTCACCCATATTTTAAATATAATTTTAAAAAAATCTATGATAAAATGTATATACAATGACCACACAGTCAGTTGGATTAAAGATACTGAAACCATTATGTAAAACCAAAATATGGACCGACATATCTTTTACATTTACATTTACATTTAGTCATTTAGCAGACGCTTTTATCCAAAGCGACTTACAAATGAGGACAATAAAAGCAGTCAAAACTAACAAAAGAGCAACAATATATAAGTGCAAATGACAAGTCTTGGTTAGCCTAACGCAGTACATGTAGCAAGGTATATATATATATATATATATTTTATACACACACACACATATACACACACACACACACACACACACACACACACACAAAGAAAAACAAGT